TTTCCCCCCCCCCCCAGGTGCCTGTCGGGGCCTGGGTTTCAGCTGTCCACACCACAGCAGTGGACAACGAGCTTAAAGCCCCTGATGGCTCTGGGCGCTGACTCTCACCAGTGGCTATGTGGTTTTTTTTCTCTTTTTTAAAAAATTAATTTTAATGAAAGTTTGCAGAGACTTTGGATTTCCATTAATTCACTGTTGTACTTTTCTCCCTGCCCACTGCCCCCTCCCCAATTAGCTCTTCTCTTTGAAAAGTAAAAGAAAAATTCTTTCATTGTTATACAAACCCTCCCCACAAGTCCACTCCACTATTCAGCCTTCATTCTTGACTCCTGTCATGACAGTAATGTTGTTGTTGTTAAGTGCCCTGGAGTTGCAGGCGACTCATAGCGACCCTATGAAGGAGAGTCCTCAACACTTGGGTGTCTTTCATCCTCTCTCCAGGTTCACTGGGGTTCCGGAGGCAAACTATTACAGAAGTGGATGCCACACCTGCTTCCAAGCTTGTTTTAATTGGGGAGCTCCACCCCACTCTCCATGACAGTAATACCTAATCATAGATCCCTTTTACACCGTTCTCTCCTTCATCTATTTTAATGCAGTATACATTATTTATCCCCTCTTTCTCAGTCACCCCTCAACCCCGATGTCAGTCCCATTTTACAACAGTGTCACTACACAATATTTGGGACTGGTCACTTTTGACAATGTGCCCCAAATTTATGAGATTGAAGTATCTCCATTTGATTTCCTAAGTTACATCTGGCTATATTTCATCCACGGCATATTTATTTGTTCTGGCAGTTTGTGATACTTTCAATATTCATAATTCAACAGTGCAATTGAAAAGCATTGATTCTTTGGAATTTATTGGTTTTCCGACTTTTAATATGCCTATGAATTGAATGAAAATATGGCTTGAGTGAAGTACACCTTAATTATTTTTCTTGTAGGTTTTTTTTTTTTAAATTGATTTATATTGGTTTGATGATCTAGTGGGAAGAAGCTGCACTGCAATCCCAAAGACCTGCAGTTCGAGGCCACCAGCGTGGATGAAGGATGGGAAATCCTCTCTTATGCAATTCACTGCCTCTGAAAACCCACTGGAGGGTCAACTATGGGTTGGTTCAGATTCAACGGTACACAAAAACAACACCGATTTTATTACAATGTTCATATAGGCATTGTATTTCACACTACTCTTCATTCACATTGTGTTTCATAAAATCATTCCCCTTCATTATGTTTTATAAAATTAATCACCATTGGATCATGGCCACTATTACCCTGTTTTCAGGTCCCTGTTGGATCTTTCACATTTCCTTTACCCCCTCCTTCCACCCCGCAAATTTTGTAACTTTGTGGTTTCGCTCCTTCCAGTCCTTACCCTCTCTCCTCCTATTCCTTCCCTCCTTGGATCCCCATACATGTTTTATCAGTTATCCTTCTATTTTTACAATAATGGTCTTATGCAGCATTTATCTTTATGTGACTGAGTTAGTTAACTTAGCATAATGCTCTCCAGTCTCTCACACGTTATGGAGTATTTTTCAAAATCATTGTTCCTGAATGTTGCATAGTATTCCATTGTTTGAACGTACCATAATTGCTCAATCTATTCAGTTATGGGCTGTTTCTATGTTCTTGTGATGGTGAATAACACTGCTATATACAAATCTGTTTGTGTCTTAATTTTTGGTGTATATTCCTAGTGGAATAACTGGGTCATATAGAGCTTCTATGTTCAGCTTTTTGAAGAAATGCCAAACTACCTTTCAGAGAGTTTGTACCATTTTACACTCTCACCAACAGTGTGAGTGTTCCTACCTCTCCACATCTTCTCTAACATTTATTGCTTGCTGCCCTTCTAAACTTTGCCATTGCTACAGGAGATGGTATCTCATTGTGGTTTTGGTTTATATCTCTCTTATTGCCAGTGATTTTGAGCTTTTCTTCAGATGTCTGTTGGCCATCCAAGTATCTTCCTTTGCAAAAAGTCTTTCTATATCTTCCCCTCATTTTGTAATTATGTGATCAGTCTTTTTCTTCTGAGGCCCAGTAGTATTCTGTAAATTTTTTTTCTGAGACCCTTGTCTGAGATGGTATTGCCAAATGTTTTTTCCCAGTTGGTAGGTTTTCTTTTCACTTTATTAGAAATTTCTTTAATGTACACAGGGATTTAATCTTTAGAAGGGTCCCATTTATCAATTTTATCCTC